ATATCACACCTGTGAAAAAATATTTTTGCATGCTCTGATTTTTATGGGCTCTCCACGAAATGACTGTCGCTTTCTTATTGGGCCCAAGTACATGTGTTTGGTCCAGTGGGAGCCCAACACATTTTTTTCCTTTTTTTTTTTCTTGCCACTTCAATTTTTTCATTTTCCACTCGTATGAAAAATGAATTTTATTTTTTAGTATATTAGAATGTTAATTACTTAAAATAATAAAATTTTAAAATTTTTATCTTATTATTAAAATTTTTAAATTAAGAGATATCAATTCGACAAAACTATGAAAATAAACTTTATTACATTACATTACCTCCCGCAGCCAAACATAAACATCCCGCTAATTGTTTAGGTATACAAAGAAAACTAAAAGAAATTAACATGAAACTTGTAGAAAACATGGGAAAAAAGTGAAATTTCTTTCACTGTTGTGGATGATCATAATTATGCAACTTCTCGACTTACCTTTTTCCTTGAAAAGATCCCACCAATTAACGGAATCAATGGCTTCTTCTTCTTCTTCCTTAGTGAAGGATGCCTCTCGAGTCTCTCAACACCCTGAGGAGGAACAACAGCCTGAGCCACAGATGATGGTGGAGTTGAAAATGTGACATATCTCTTCTTCTGGAACTCTGTTTCTTCTCTGTAATCAGATTTTTCTCTCTTCTTAATTTCAAAGTCCTCGACAATCTTGATCTCTTCATTTTCATTGATTTCGAACTCAAAAAGTTGTTTAGTGAGTTCCCGTTGCTTCAGTTGTTCCAGCTCTTCTTTCGTTCGTTCGAGTTCGTCTTTAAGAGAAGAAAGAGAGTTTGCCATTAGCTTACTCTCTTCTTTGGCCTTTTCCAAGTTCTGTTTTGTCTCCTCTAATTCGGCTGCAACAATTCCCAGCTTGGAAGCTTCATTTCCATTTTCACCATGCATCTGTCACAGAAGGAATTAGACATCAATTTCAAAAGATCCCCTGTTTTGAAATTAACCCAATTTTAGCAAGGCACTGGAAGTCTGTAGCTGTTTGTTTCTTTTTTTCTTTTTTTCTTTTTTTCTTTTTCACATAGATAAGGAATATATGCTTGCTTGCTAGATAACTTCCTCGGAGGTTGATTCCCTAAAAAAGTTTTAAGTTATACTATTCTAATAATACTGTGCTAAAATATCCATCATAATGAACTCAGCCACAAGTAAGCATCTAGAAAAGGAATATGTTGATTAAAACAAAAAAAATTGAAGGATAGTAATTACTGGTACATAAACCACTCAAGAAAAATAGTGCAATTCTGAAATTACTATGAAGAATTACACATGATGATCCACAACCCTGTTTTTTTTTTTTTTGGCTCATAAAAATTGAAGTATCATTTAGACTATACATATAATTAACATGGTTTCTGGTAATTTCTAATTGAAGTCCAAATGATTGCTTCAAGGGGAGGTAGTTTGAGGTTAGTATACCTGATGAACTGCCTTCAGTTTGTTGGCGTAAACTTCACCTCCTAAAACTTTCTCCCCGAACAATGAAACTGCTTCTCTAACAGACTTGAATGGTGCCCTTGTATCAATTTCTGCCCTCTTGTTCACCACAACTCCTTTACTTGCCATTACGAAACAAAGAAAAGATGGGTACTGAATGAAGGGAAGAGACAAGATTTTTTCTATTAATGAAGAGGTTGGTTACAAGAAAGAATTAGGAGAACAAGAAATATAGAGGAGAGGAGGAGAAGCTTCGTTTCTTCACGTCCACTTCACTAGAATAGTTGTCATATGTTTGAAGGTGAAGCTGGTGGCTAAATTGGGAGCGGTGCAAATTCTTTAAGGAAAGGAGAAACAGAAAGGCGCTTCATGTGTACCGCTGCTTCCACGGCATCACACATGCATACGTACACTATGTATTTGTGAGACCCACGGAGATTATTTTCATTAAGAATTTTATAAATGAAGGTATTCTAACACTTTAAATATTAATATTATTTATAGATTTATTTAAATATTATGAATAAATTTTTTTATATGTTAATTTATTAAAAATATTTTAATATGTTTACTATCCATTCTCATATTTTAATTATTAGAACATTTTGATTTTTTTCGATCTCTTAAAACATATAAAAAAAAACATAAACTTAAAAAAAAAAAAAAAAGGAACGTGAATATATTTTTTGGACACAAATTCATCCATTCCATTTCTTTTTTTTGCAACATATTATTCCATTTCAATGACTAATTAACAACAATTAACATTTGATAAATTATAATAATTTATAATTTAAACTGAATAATAACATAGAGTAGTCTATATGTTAAGACTTGAATTTCAAATTTAAATAAGCAGTTTAGGACCCCATGTTTTTTTTTTAATAAATAGAGAATCACATAATTAATCATAAGCACCTAAGTTCAGGTTCTGGGGTAGCCAACCCTACAGTATTAGTCATACAAAAAGACCAACCCATACAAAAAGACCAACCAGGTCAGTTGGACAGTTATACAAAATAACAAAATCAAAAGTAAAATGGGCACCCTTCTTGGCTATGGCATCAACTACCATATTACATTTCTTGACAACATGCCTCATATAAACATGGGGAATCATATTTAAAAGAGGAACTTCAACGTTTAACCACTATGCAAGCAGACACTAATTAAGAATATGTTAAAAAAGAAATTATAATTTTCATGTTTAGCATAGATGAGTTTTTCTTGTTCTTACTAACCATTCTAAATGCGTTATTTTAGTTTAGTCCAATATCTTATTATAGAGTAGCAATATAAATTTATTCCAACCAAAGAAATGGAAAAATAAATTTAAAATCATCATTAAAACCAACACTTTAGAAATTATACCCTAGTTCAAACATTATGAATCATGTTTGTTGCCTAATATTTTTTGCTGATAT